TCGCCTCTGAAGGAGCAGACTGCAGCAACTGAGAAGCCTCCTGCAACAACCGAAAAGGTTAAGGAGGGCATGGAGGATCAGCTGTACAAGGCTTTGAAAGACAGGGCGGAGGAGAAGAAGAAGGAGAAGGACGCCAAGGTTGCCAAGAACCCCAAGGGTGAGAGCAGCAGCAGCAAAAAGCCAAAGGCTGAGAGCAAGAAGCCCAAGGCTGCTCAGAAGGCCGCTGCCAAGCCTGGTGCCAAGAAGAATGCCTCGAAGAAGTTGCCCAAGTATGAGCCGGCTTCCCCCACCGAGGCCCAGCTTGGTGCACGACGGGAGACATACACAGACGGGCATTATCACAAAGCCAGAAAGCTTGCTGAGAAAAGCGGCTACGAAAGGGAAGCCGAACTCGAGTATGGAAGAGCTGCTAGGGCTGCAGCTGCCGCCAAGTGGCAGAGGCATGTATAAGCCATAATGGCTTCACGTGATCTCTGCGAAGCTGGAGATTGTGCATAGAGCTTGTGTGGGATGCATTTACCAGCCATCAGCTTGGTTGTTTTATGCTGGGACAAGCAAAGTGCTTTTCTCCATGCCTTATGGCAGCATGCTCGAGTGTTCTTTGTTTCCCTTGGGGACCTGGTCGCTTTGTGTTTTGCACACAAGACCTCAGAGAATCCATCCGAAGAATGACAATAAAGAAGGGCCATTTTGCAGTCCGCCGTTTCGTTGAGGTATATGTCTCATATTGGCAGCAGTTTCTGAGTGGTGCTTGCATGCATGCAATGAAGAAGCATTCCTGCTTTCCAACCAGTGAACACTGCTGCCTTACAAGCTTTTGGTTCATACATATATAAACCTCAAAACCTTGTAAACATCTAATTTGTTCTTCCAAACCGTGAAGCCAACTGAAGCCTGATAGTGGATTCCAGCTTCGAGACAATGCCCATGCATCGATTAAATCGTCTTGTATCCTAGCCATAAAAATTCAAGCCAAAATAAGTTTTAAGTGTATCTGTATTCACATAGACGTATATACGGCCGAGCATAGAAACAAGAGGCCCTGAACTATGTACATAATTGTTCGTGTATACGTGCACATTATATGTATGTAAACTTCAGACTCGAATAAAACGGTTCTAGACACCAAGTCATGGAAAGTGACCGCCGGGACTCCAAACTTCAAAAGCTGGATGCTTTGAGGAGGAGGGTACCTGCAGTGTCTGCATCAGCTTTGGCGGGTTTACTTCAGGACATCGAGAAAAATGGCTTGCCGTCTTTGAAGCAGCGGAAACATGTCAAGGAAGCTACTGAACACACAGTCTTAGAGCACAAGGCCTATGGGCCGATGATTGATTCCATCAAGGTGGCTACTGATGAAGGGGAGGTCGAGGTGATCATGGCCAACTTCTTCTCTTTGTTGCAGGCGCTTTTTGAGACATCCTCCGAATTCCAGGGTCTCCTGCACAGCAGCCTTGTGGCTTCTGGTGGTCAGCCATTAAACCTCGTTTTTTACTCAGACGAGGTCACTCCTGGAAATGTTCTTTCAGCTGATACCTCCAGGAAATTGTGGGCAATATATCTTTCCTTCATGGAATTTGGCTCACAAGCCTTGTCCAAGGAGGAGGCTTGGATACCGGTTCTTTGCCAGCGATCGAAGCTTGTGAATGATCTTCCGGGGGGTGCCAGCCAGATGGCTTCGCTGGTGTTGAAGAACATTTTCTGCCATGGGCATTGCCACCCAGAGGCCGGATATGATAAGTTACAAACTTGGTACGTGAGGGTTTCTTCTTAAATGAGCATGTGTGTTATATGTACTTTGGCATTGTTTGTCGGAATTGCTCGCTAATTGTTGGCCCCGCAGCTTGGCATCCTCTTGAAGACAGCTGACGACAGCTTGTGCATCAATCTGAAGTTCAAGCTCGGCGCTTTTCTTCAAGACGGACTTGCTCACAAGTCCCTGTTCTCAATCAAGGGCGACAACGGCACTCGGTGCTGCCTCCTTTGCAAAAACGTCATCTCTACCAACAGCATCGAGCTTGAAGAAGCCAGGCTGGTTTCTGATATCTACAAGGAAGCAGACTTGGAACTGTCAACAGATGATGACTTTGCAACTACTGTGCTCAAGACGGTGCAAAAGAAGGACACTTTGTCCAGTAAGGATTTCCAGCTCTGGCAACAAGCAGCTGGCTTGAACTTCAATGATGCAGCCATGATATTCGATCCGGACCTCTGCAGGGTTGTCAAGCCCACAAGCCAATGGCTTCACGACTGGATGCACACATTCCTGGTGAAAGGGATTTTCAACACAATCATGCACCTGATGATGCAAGCAGCCGAGGAAGAGTTGGGCCGAGACTTTTACAAGATCGTCCATGACTATGTGAAGGAGTGGCAACTTCCCAAGAGCAGGTCAGAAAACCTGTCAGGTTTGTTTGTGCACAAGAGGAAGAAAGCCAACGACGAAGCTGGGAGCTTCAAGTGCAGTGCCTCCGAGGGGTTGAGTTTGTTCAGCATATTTACGTGCATGTTGTTGAACGTGGTTGCTCCCGTCGGTGTGTGTGCTAAGCCGATTGCTGTGATGGTGGCATTAGCAAATGTGCTTGAGCTGCTTCAAGCATGTGCTCTGCCAGGAATCACGAGCCCAGGCAGGCTTGCTGCAGCCATAGAGGCTTTCCTCGAAGCCAGCATTGCAGCAGGATGGCATGATGCCTGGCACCCAAAATTTCACTGGGTGGTACACTTGCCTGCCCAGTTGCGGAAATGGGGCATTTTGCCTGCATGCTGGGTCCAGGAACGGAAGCACAAGTTGGCAAAAAGGTTTGGCACCCTGCAATCAAACACAACTAACTATGAGAGGTCGATTCTTTTGCAAATTCTGGGCCAGACACTATCTGATATTCAGCAGGAAAAGCTCTTTGACACATCTTGCAAGCTGGCACAACCCGGAAAAGCACCAGCCAAAATGGTGGCTTTTCTGCAGGAGTACATGCCCGGCTTCCAGAGCATCCACACGAATGCAGTTGCGGCATTGCAGCCAGCAGGTTTTGCACACAAGGGGGATCTGGTATTGATGAAAGCTTCCCGCCAAGTTTCACAAGTGTATTTTCATGCCGATCTTGATGGAGTTGTGTATTCTTTGGTTTCCCATTTCAATCTGGTGAGGAATGATTTGGCCCATGGCTCGTTGATAGTCCAAAGGACTGATGCCCCAATGCTGGTAGAAACCAGCATGATAGCTTGCCCTTTGCAGCACACCTCTCTTGGAGGGGACAAAATTCGAGTTCTGATTCCTCTGGCCCACAGAAAGGCTTGAGTGCTTGCACAGGGCCTGCCGTTACCAAAAAGCAGTACATGTGCCAGGTCTCGCCCATCACGATTGCATGCATAACACTGCCTGACAAGCCTTGCGGCTTCTGCATCAAAAGCCGGCACAGGCTTCCATCCACGAATGTTGCTTCTTGCCGTCAGATTTAAAACATGAAAAAGTGGAAATCGCACTTCCGGATTTTCGTTTGGTTGGGATTGAAACGCCCAAATATGGAATTTTGTTCACCGGATTTCATGGTTTTGGGACATGCTAAGTGGTTAGCAAAATATTTGCTAAGTGGTTAGCATAGAGTTATAAATGCCTGTTAAGCGCTTAGCAAACTGGATGCTATCCTGGTTGCTATCCCCTTCACAAGTACTTCTATAACCACATAGCATCCCTTGATAAACTGATAAGTACTTACACAACTATATAGCAAGTCCAAGCAAGTCCTATAAGTCAATATATGTAGAAGCCAACCCACGGGTCATCCAAGCAGGGAAGCTCAAGGGCAAGCTCATGTTCGGAGCGAGCCAGCTCTGGGGGAAGGTTGGACGTGCGTTCTTCCGGCCCCTCTCGGAGCGCCAGTACTCGAAGGACCGGTCGAGCGATCGTATGGAGCTCAACCTGGCTCTGGAGCGATCGCTTCGTTACTGGCGGAACCTCATCGTTCATGGTCCTCCGCGTGAGATATCACTCCGCTCGGAGAAGAACGCTGATGTTGTGATCTTCACAGACGGCTTCACCCCTGACTTTCGGAAGTCGGAAGAAGGAGCCGATCGGATCGGAGCCGTGATGTTCGATCGGAGAGCTGATGCTCCCAAGCAGTTCACTGAGGTGATCCCACCGGAAGTATCGGACCGATGGCTCGCGAGAAAGACCCAGATCGTCCCGATCGAGATGATCGCGCCGATTCTGGCGCTCGAGACTTTCCGGGATCACGTGAAGAATAAGGACGTTCTCCTTCTGATTGACTCCGAGGCGGTCGAGGCTGCTCTAGTGAAAGGATACTCTTCAAAGGAAGATCTCTGTGAGCTCGTTGAAGTCTTCTGGGAATTGGCTCTTGAATATAGGGTCAACTTCTTTATCGATCGAGTTTCTACAGATGCCAACCCGGCAGACTGGCCATCGAGGGATCGCCTCGAGATTGGCCAAGCTGCCGGGTGGTCGACAGTTTTGTGCTCATGGCCAGCGAAGCTCCGCTAAAAGATCGATGCAGGGCCTGGGAGGTTGCTCGTATTTCGAACGAAGGGAATTTGTTCGAGATGCTCTCGCGTCTGGTGTCCCGGGAAGGGTTCGCCGGTTGCGGGTTCGAGCGACTGCGACGACGACGACTCCGTTCGTGGGTTGTCGTTGTCCTGGGGTGGGGGCCGGTCGTTTCTGATGCTCTTCGGTAGTTCTTCTTGTGACCGCTCAACCCCATGCTAGAGCGGATTAAACATTGCTCGTCCGCTCGGTGTGTGGCATGCTGTTCAGTGAGCTTGCGAGCGTTCGTGCGTGTAGTGTGAGCCTTGAAACTGAGGGCCTGAAGCCCTGCATCCTTGCAGCCCAAAAGCGCGAAGAGCGTCGTAAGCCCTGAGGCCCATGCACACATGGGTGCTTGTCAATATTAGGGTCCCTTTTTGGGTCCTTTTTCTAATACGGCACCTAATATTTAGGGGTACCCAAAAAGGGATCCCAATTTCGACGACCCTGGGACCTTCAACCCTAGACCCTGCAGCCAGAGACTCCAGGCCTCCTAAACCAAAAAGTCAGAATTATGCCATGGGCTGCCCAAAGAGCAGTCGCTGTCACAGCATACATCATTCAATACCATGTTTTCTGTATGTTGATGACAGGCCTAGCTGCAAGCATAGTGTTGCAATCATCCAGGCGTTCATACTCTAACTGACTGCACGAAGTTGGTGCTCCTCTCAAGGGCCTAAACCCTAAACCCCTCAACCCCTCGACCCTAAACCCCTCAACTAAACCTCAAAGCCCCTAAATCCTAAACCCTCAACCCTTATCCCGAACCACTCCTTCCCTTCTCGGTTACCGGTCAGGAGCATCGGTCCCTAACCGAGCAGGCTTGGGGTTGCGGCGGGACGGGGCCTGGACTTCATGGGGTTTAGGGTTTAAGGTTGAGGGTTTAGGGGTCATGGGGGTTTCTGAAAATAGGGGACCCTGATATATACTCGTAGTACCCTAAATAGTAGGGTCCTTATTATAAGGACACCAAAATAAGCTACGTAAGGGGAACTCCCCCCAATAAGAGTTCAGAGAAAGTTCGTAGAGGGGTGTCTAAATGGGTTTGAGGATTCAGGGCTCCAAACCAAGGTATATTACACCATACCTATAATGAGGAACACCCAAAAAAAGTATTGCTAACTATTTCAACGGTTTAGGGTTTAGGGTCAAGGGTTTCCTTGACCAATCCTTCAGATTCCTCCACTCCCATCCTTCGCTTGCTCGATGCTTGCTCGGAACACTGAGGCCTTTGTGTGACTGCTACTAGAAGGTTCTATGAGGGTTCTATAAGCGGTGTAGAAGGGTTCTATGAGGGTTCTATGAGGAGGGTTGGTTCTATGAGGGTTCTATAAGGGTTCCATGAGGGTTCCTGCCATAGTATGGGAGCCTCAACAAGTGGAAGACATTTTGCAAACCCGCCCATAAACCCTCAAGCCTAAACCCCAAACCCTAAAGCCCAAACCCTAAAGCCCGAACCCTAGAGCCGAAACCCTAAACCCTAAACAAAGAAACCCTCAACCCTAAACCCTAAAGCCGAAATCCTAAACCCTAAACCCTATACAAAACCAACCTGAAGCCTAAGGCCCTTTTGAGCCTGGAAACTTTAGGGCCCGAAGGCCCCACGAACCTCGTTTGGGGTTTCAGGTCTTTGGGGTTTTCCAGGGTGTTAGGTTTGATTAGGGTTTGGGGTTCCAGACTTCGGGTGTTTAGGGGTTTCAGGTGTAGGATGTCGGATTTTCAGGATTTGGGGCTTCGGGAAAGATCATTCCCAGCCCCGCCTGCCCGCAGAAGATCGCTCGTGCAGAGCTTCACTGAATCCCGCTGTTGATGGTGTGAATCCTCCACTACCCATAATAAGGAACAACCCATAATTTCCATAGGCTAGCGTCATGAAGGTAATGCAGGGTTGATATCTTCAACCCGTATGTCACCCTAAGCCTAAGCTTTGTCAAGCCGTAGGCCGTAAAGCAGCCCACTCACAAGCCTGCTCGCGAGTGTCTGAACTCTGAACAAGTACCACCGTATAATCTCAGTGTAGATCTACTCGGACATACTGCAAGATGCACCCACTTAGGTCCGATAGCACAGTTTAAAAGCCGCACAAGCCCCAATGATTCGTTACAAACCCCCTTGACTAAACGTTTATTGTAAACCCCATAGTACCTATAGAAACCCTTTAAAGGAAGCCGAGTAGGAACCCGATTAGACATTATGAAAGTCCTTAGATCGCTTCGTCCGAACACGGCAGGCCGCTGCGGCCGCACGGGTCGCTGCAGGTGATGCCAAGACCTTGGGCTTGTCTGACGACTACCAGGACAGCTTAGGGTTCAGGGTTTGCAGTTTTTTTCAGAATCGGGTACTTGAAACTGTTAAACCCGTCAATCCGAACCCTAAATCACATCGCTAAGACTTTGGGCTCTGAGGGTTTCGAGTTGCGGGTTTCCAGCTGTGCCTGTCATGTCAGGCCCAGTATGGTGGCAAAGCTGCCTTCAAGATCTTGAGGGAGGCCAGTCGTTGGCTCAATCTAAAATATGCAGGGACCTGAAGATATATATATATATATACATTTATCAGTTTTGCAGCTTCTTCAGTGTATGCATATTAAAATGTATACCCCCAATCCTGCTCCAGTTGTGCAGGCCCCTGTCTGATATGTTTTTTTTTTTCTATTTTGCTGCTTCTTCAGTGTCTTCATAGTAAAACGTACATCCTAACCCTAACCCTAAACCCTACTCCAGTTTTGCAGGCCTCTGTTTATCATTTTTTATTCTTTTGCTTTTTTGTTTTTTCGGATGTCGGATTTTGCATGTGAATGTTGGGGGTTTGAAAGTCTGCGGGTGTAGATACTTGGCTTGTACCATCTCTGTTACCTTAACCTCTTATCTCTGGCAGAAGCATCCAGAAGGAGAAACAGCAATGGGAAGTAGCGTGTAATGTTCTTGATTGCAAACAATGTCCCTCAAGCTTAAATCCTATACGCGAGAGCCTTTAAGCCCAAGACCTAAATCCTAGCCCCTAGACCCAAAACCCTAAGCTCTAAATCCTAAGAACCCTAAAGCCCCGAAGACTGTGACTATGGTTGTACTTGATGTATATAGCTCCTGGCAGCTTCTTCTATCACTATACTATGCTATATATATATGTATATATATATGTATATATATATATATATATATATATATTATACCATAATCTATACTATACTTTACTATACTATGTCATACTTTACTATACTGTATGATACTGTTACTACATTTTCTTCTCAGTATATGGGAGTCTCCGAAAATTAGGGGTACCTTATTCTGGGATCGTTATAATGAGGATCCTACTACTTAGGGTACTATTTTAGGGTCCCCCTATTTTCGGAAACCCCCATATTCTATCCTCTGATATCGCATTACATTCTTACGGCTGCAGGAACCTGAGCACTCCTGAACCTCAGTAAATCCTACGCTTGGAGGGGCAGGGGACTTAGTAAGGGCTCTTAAAGTGCCCCTTAAAGGGATCTATAGGGTTCCTTAAAGGGTTCTATGGCATTCTATGGGGTTTAGAGTTTTAGGGTCTATAGGCTCCTACGCCGGGCAGCTACGCTGCAGTCCGTGTTTGACCCAAGACTTTATAATCTCTCGCTCTCTCTCCGCCTCTCCCTCCCATTCCACATGGAGTATGTGTATATATGATTTTTATGTCCTTGTACATGTACATGTGCATGTATATTTGCAGAGAGAGCCAGAGAGCGAGCGAGAGAGAGGCAGAGAACACAACAGCTGCTCACCGTT